TTATAAAAATATATATATATAGACGTATCTTGTTTTAACCTTACTCTTAAAACTGCCATTGGCAACTATTAAAGTGTCAGAAAGCATTTTCAAGAAATTGTACATATAGAAAATCTGATGGATGACCTAACGAAGAACAAAGTTCAACAAATGAAACGAATAAATTATTTATATGAATTATTATTATTTTTTTTTTTTTCCAAAGTATTAAGTTTCTTCTCAAGGAAAATATTATTCGATATTATCATTAATATAATAAGCTTTGAGCCAAGAAAAGCTTAGGGTAAGCGCTAGGATATTGAGTTCTAATGCCAATTGATAACCAGCATAAAACTTTAGAAAACTGGCTACTACCAAGTGCACTCTTGGGGACCTCCGAAAACCTTTTTTATGGATCTGCAATGTGAGAGGATGCAAGGCTCAAAAGAAAATTTTAAAGCATTAATTGCTCTTATCCTTTAAGGGTTTTTGCTTTCTTTCTCTTTTCAATCTACGAAGCAATTTATATATCTATCCAACCTATGAAAAGTTAACGGTTATTAATAGTCACATCTGCCTTGAAAAGCTTCCTAGCTCCATTCATAATAATTTGCAAATTTTTACTTACCAAGTTTCGCTGATTCTCTTATTAAGTTTACTATTTTTATATGTTTGTATTCCTTATAAATTCTTTTTTTGCGGTTATAGGACCATTAAAACAGAAAGCATTTGGATGTATCTTGACATAGAAACAAGGCTACGTCGTTTGCATTGTTTGTAAAACACGCCTCTTTGCACTTGAATTAATTTCAAAATTGTTTTATTTTTTTTATTCATGTATTTTTATTTACTTATTTATTTTTTTATTTTTTTTTTGTTAATTATATAATACTAGTAAAGATTTTTCTTTAATAATCGTTTAAGTCATTGTGTGTACTAAGCAACCGAAAAGACTTAAGAGGCAAACTTGTTCTGCACACTATGCGGGGGTGCTGGATGTGAAATAAGTGCAGACACCTAACCGCCTACATATACACGATATCAAACCATATGTTGTTCATGTTGTTGTTGCCAAACATAAACAAGATCATGTAATAACATTGTTTCTGTATGTAGTTATTTGATTATTTTGTTGGAATTTGTTGTTTTATATATTTTTGAATTATTCTCACGATTTGATTCAAATAAAGAAAAATTTTAATTGCATTATTAAGACAAAAATATTAAATAATATTACGTATAACTATAATATATATATACATATATATATATATATATATATATATTTTTTTTTTTTTTTTGACCTTTAAATTATTGAAAAATGATTTTTTAAATATTTTTTTGTTTAGTTTTTATTTTTTATTCATTAATGGGTAATTTTATAATTAGCGAAAATTGAGAAGCTTTTACATATGATTTGTTACCATTTTGTTTTTTTGTTTTTACCTCAACACTTCTTAACTGCGTTTAATTTATTTGCAATTTGCTTTGAAAAAATGTATAAAAATTTAATACGGAATAAATTCTTTTCCATTCATTAAAACCACAGTTTTTCCAAATTTTGATTTTCAAATTATTAACAAAAAACAAAAAAAAATCGCTCATCTCATGTTTCACGGTGTTTTATTATCTTTTTTTTTTATTTTATGCGCTAAAACTCACGTGAAAGCGCTTCAATGGACGACCTTGCTAAGACCACATTAAAAACACAACTAACATCTGAAGAGCCTAGAGCTGGTTGTCTTACAACAAAACGACTGTTATGATCAAACCAACCACCACCACTGTCACAGAGCTCATCAACTCTGCTACAATATTGAATATAATAGGCACACCACCACCACCACCACCACACAATCACAAATACCTTTATTCATAACTTTTGCATTGTATTCTAAATGAATATGAAAATACGAAAAAAGCAAAAATTTAATTTTATAGCGAATCATCAGAAAGGGTAAAAAATGATATTTAAAAATTTGTAAGCAAAATTTTTTAAAAAAGTCTCTCTTTTATATCATTTATAACATTTTAAAAAAGCGCAACTTTTTCAAATCAAAGAAGAAGAAAGCGCGTAAAAAACCCGGCAAAGTTTGAAACCTAAAGATGTTTAATTAACTGTTGGCTGAGTGGGACGGACGTCTTCGTTGTATTGAACTCTTAAACGGATCCAGGTGTAAAACGAACGCTCGTATCAACATCTCCTATAAATTATAGATGAAATATACGTCGAACTATTTAATCCAACTTATCGTTTCTTATTTCTTTTAGACTACTATAGTCATTTTCATAGTTAGATTTGTCCAATGAATCTAAGAACTTACTTTTCGTGTGTCATTCCTGTAGCCTAATGTGATTTTAACAGCTCCAACGATCAAACCGACCTGAAATAAGTAGACCCAACATAAGCAACCGAAGGGATGGTCTCTCTCTTGCATTAAGTTGAAGAATTGACTACGAATATTTAGCTGTTACTACATTACTCTGTAGTTAAATTAACTGCAAACTGTTGAATTAACTGAATTATTAAGTGCCATACACTTTGTGTGGTTTTTGATACTTATTTTCTAGTGCCGAAGCAGCGGACAAGTGGATCGATAGATCGATACACAAAAAGGCAAGTGCTTTGGGGTGATATGATGAACTGGCAGGCGTGGGGATAGATTGACACAGAAACGCAGATGAATTGCGCGTTGGTATGAAGAAGAGACGCACGCCCGTTTGGATGGATGTGATGATAATAAGATAATAAACGGATGGGTATAGGAATAGTTATGCCAATTCGAAAGTGAACAATGATCTGACGCCTCTGATGTCTCTGATATGTCTGGTACCCACATCGCGATGTTTTGGCATTTGGCCACTACTTTAATTAGGATATAGTAAACTTCTTCATTGTAGGTTAAAGTGGTATTTACAACATTCGTAATTAACGACGTTCGTTGAGACAAAATGTATACCCCAAGACAGATTACATAGAATATTTTACTTCTTTGAAGCGGCTAGACTAACCATCTAGTTTATCCTTTATAAGAAAGGCCTGATAGTCTTGGCTGTTGATGGCAGTCCAACTTTTAGGCATGGAGTTTATTCGCTTCATCTAATTAAATTGCAGTAATAATAACAAAGTAATTTTTCGTTCTAAAATAAAACAAAAAAATTTCATCGTAATTAACTTTAAAATAGACATCAGATGGGAAATCTCTCCTTGTTTCGAATTTTATTAAAGAATTTCTTTTCTTTTTATTTTCGTTTTTTTTTCTACGTCTAAAGAGGCTTTCGTTTACTTTTTATTAAATTTATTAAATATAATTGAAAATATTTTGTTATGACTTCAAAAGCTGGCAGAAATTTAATATTAATTCTAAAAAAGCTGTTGAAATTTTTTATGTCAATTAATTTATTTTATTTATTTATTTTTAAATTTCGATTTGGTTACTTATTTACTTTTATTTATCTATTTTAGTTTAATTTTCATACCGATCAAACTTTTTGCAGCTTTTACTAATTGTTGTTTACTTCTAGCTTATCGTCATAGCCATTTTCCTATATTTTTTTTTTTTAGTTTTTCCTTTTAAATCTTCAGCTTTATTTCATAACAATTTATTTGGATTTCCTGTGCTACGCTTTATTGCATTTTATTTTAAATTATTTTATTTTATTCTCTTTTACTTTATGCTATATAAACAAATTTTATTTTACTTTATTATTTATTATTTTATAACATATTTTTGTTTTCATATTTTTTTTTTTTTTTTTTTTGTCTTGGAATTTATTTGTTTTTATCTTTAATGTTTTATTTTCTCACTTAATTCCATTTTATTTTATTTTTCTTGATTATTTTTTTTATTTTATTATATATACATATGTTAGATTTTTTATTTTTATTTGTTTATTTGTAAGATTTGGTTTTTTTCTTATTGTGATTCAAAACTCTTATCAGTTTCATACGTCAAACTCAAGCCTTGTTCAGATATCATTTGCAACTTCTTGCCTTTTGAAGTTCGATATCAAACCTATTTCATACACATACTCACCGTTTGCTTTATCAGTTTTTAGTATAAACAGACTATTATTTCGTTTAGTTTTGTCGTTTTCTGTGCATTGTAAGCGATCAGTTTTCATATATATTAAGAAAGAGAAACAGTCTCAGCCATAGATTGTAATTAAAAATTAATAAAGAAGAAAAGAGATGGTGATAGATTGTATTTGTATGCGTGCATGTGTATGTATAAATTTAACTGTTAACTGTTATATTTGTTTTGTTGAATGAACAGAGTATGACAGTTTTTTTTTGCATTTATTTATATTCTTGCGTTTTATTTTATTTTCGTGTTTATATATTTTTCTTTATGTTATGAAGCAGCTGCGCTTAGTATTTAGCCAATAGCCAACGTTTAGTTAACTCTCACCACCAGACAGTACAGACAATAAGAAATGTTTGAGAGCCTAGAGAGTGGTGCATACGTGACAGTAAGCATGTGCATAAGTGTAAGTGAAAAGCTCAAGATCAATGGAAGGGGGACTGACTTTAAGCCAATTGCAAGCAAGTCTCTTAAATTAAGCGGTGAACAGAATTCTCAGAAAAAGACAGCATTAGAATTTTGTTATGGGTTTTATAGAGTTGGAATGAAAGCGACACAAACAAAAAAAAAATGTTTCGCGCACTTAACATTCGAAAAGTTGTAGAAGAAAAAGAAGAAAATTTGTATAAAAAAAAGCACGAGAATCTTTTATAATTTTCTTGAATAAAATTGTTTTTGTTTTTTTTTTTTCTAACAAAACTGGCTTTTTTGCTTTTTTTAATGGTATTGTGAAGCGTGTGCGTCCTTTTTCTTAAGATCTCTCTTTATAGTTTTAGTAAATTGTATAAAATAAAAAAAAAAAAAAGAAATTTTCTAAACAACCTTTTGCCATTTGGTTTCTATATTAATCACATACAGTGTTGTGACATATGGAAAACACAACAACGTGATGAAGGAGAAGAAACACTTGGATTTTGGTTCGTTTCTTTGACTCACCTTTTGTCCGCTACTGGCCGTTGAGCCATTACTAGCGGCACCGTTTTTCGGATCTTTACGCAAATCCTCCGGCTCACGTTTAATACTAATCGTAGTGGCGGTACCTGGTTGACGTTGCTGATCTGCTGTAATAACAACAGTACCATTACCAGTACCGCCACCCGCACCACCACCAGCCGTTACTATAGTTGTTTGTTGCTGGTGTTGTTGCTGCTGTTGAATAGTCGCCGTTGTTGTAATATTAGCGGCAGCTGCAGCCGCCACAGCAGCTGTTGTAGCCGATGGGTGTGAGCCAAGCAATAAGCCTTGTATTTCGTTTTGCGATAGGCTCGACACATCAAGAGGTGTGGTCTGGCCATTCAGTTTGCTAACGGTAGCACTGGGAGCGCTAAATATTAAATTAAAACAACAACAACATAAAAAGAAAAATTGATAATAAAAAGAAAAAAGAAGAAAAAACAAAAACAAAAAAACAAAAAAAAAAAAAAATCAATAGAGAAAATTAGTAATAATTTAAAGAAAAAAATATATTAAAGTTATTAATCAAAACGAAATGACATTTCGTGAATTTCAATTAAAATTGGCTAAGCCCGATGAAAAATTGCACACAATGACATATACTATATATATACATTTATATAAAAGTATATAATTGATTTTCAATCAAATGAACACAAAACAATTTTTAACTAATAGGTGAATACTTAAAAAAACTTTTTGCGAAATTATAATTAAAAATATATGTATTCGACACTGTAGTCCCATAGTGCTGTAGTAGAGTTCGAGTCATATTCAATTTTAATAGTAATTACGTAGCTCTCAAGATTTGTATTGTAGCTATTGCGCCGATAGATTTAAAAAATGGTTTTAACGCTTTTAACGCTTTTAACGTTAGTTACTTATTGCGAAAATTTGTTAAATCCATTTAGAAAGAATAATAAGCGTAAAGCAAAAGTCCGGTCGACGATATATCCACTTATACTCTTTTTAATAGCGATTACTTTTGATAATTATTTTAGTTTTAAAAGAACGGCGTTAGATTTTCGAAAGGGTCCTACAATAATTTCCTTAGAAAAATTTCTTCATAAACAATAATAAATTTGATTCGAACGTATTAACATTAAGACGATTCTATTTGCAGGGAAGTGTTTTTTACCTTACACTACTTATGACAAAAGTTGCGCTTATGTATGCAATTTCCAGACAAACTTGAGACAGACTTACAGTTTGTAGCACAAATCGCTTTAAAGTCATTTTTTGAATACATCAAAGTCCGTCCAAAATTTTGTGCACTCGTTTGGTTTGGCCCAAGGACAAGCACTATTGAAAATGGTTTGGATCGCACCCATTTTTCGTTCATTTATTATATTTAGGTTTCATAGACATATTATTGCTTAGGTTAAAATTATAATCCAATTTAAATGACCTTCAGTTATTGCTTCATATATAGAACGCGCGAGAAAACCAATTTGACCTTGCAAAAAGACAGTGGCTTCCGATATTCATATCGGAATCGGGATATTACTTTCTGCTTTGTCAGTAAGAAAGGGCACCTGACATCTGAGTAGGATCTACTGCTAATAAAGAAAGCCACGATTTATGTTGTTCATGAAGCTCTACATCCACTATAAGGGGGAAAACAACGTGTACCCTAGCCTTTCTAAGTTCTTTTCTCAAGTCTGTTCATCCGACTGCTTGCTCCTAGCAGAGTGTAAGGTTTCTTAATAATTAAAAAATTTAAAATTTTTATGCATACTTTCCTAAATGAAATTCAGAGACGAAATTTACATATTTGAAGCTCGCTTTGAGGAAGACTTACAACAGTGAAAACTTACGTAAAACAATGTTTGTAGAAATTTTTTGTAGATTTTTATGTACACAACCCTAAAACGTACGGGGTGATCAAATAAGGGCGGTATATAAAAATAAGATATGAACTTGATTTTTTATACTGTTTTAGATATTGTTTCACACAAATTCTCATTTAAAAATGTTTTCAGGTTTTTGGATTTTTGTAAATGTTTACTTCTGGAATATCAATTTTTTGTCGCTTTTCCGCGCTGATTCCACCATAGAATAACTAGAATAATGTTTAAAAATAAAGTTATTGAGAGTTTGCGTTTCATTGAAGTAATTGAAGTAACCAATGATGTCTAGGATCATAACAAGTTCATTGTTCCACAATTTGTGTAGCATTTTCGATCAACTTATTTAACCCAAAGGCCGCTTCAATATATGCTATTTTAGCCAGCAACATCACACAATCCTGTTTCATAGAAAAAAAAATAAATAAATAAATGGCTTTATGATACCGTCAACCACACTGATTCCATCAAGCAATGACCTCTTGAGGAGTATCTTAAGCAGTTTTCGGTCCCCAAATGCTAATTACTAATACGCCGGAGCGTAGGTTCATATTTCACACGAAAATAGATTGGTACTGTTAGCTCTTCCCCCACTTGGGAAGGGAAGGTATACAATGGGTATATCCTTCCTAGTCAAGCATGGTGGTACTAATCTGTCAGGCTTATCGAATAAACTTTAATGTCCCTAATCGTTTTTCAAGAAATTTCATATTCATAAAGTTTGATCAGAGTGGAGATAATTAAGAGATTTTTAACCCGTTTATCTCAACCCCGGATCCGTTGAAGAGCATAAAATTGATGCAATATGCCGATGCTTGGCTGTCACATTCGCAAATACGAGTTTTTCCTCTTATTCTTTAGAAAGTTAAGAAAAGATAGTGCTAAGCTTACTTTGGAGGGGATGTGCTACTCACCCATATATGACAACCCAAACAAGTTATTATAAGATTCAAAGCCCTTCGCCATCAATTCAAGATAAAAAATCTAGGCGTTCTTTAGCAAGTAAAATACGTTCAAAAGCAATGGTGTTTTCCTTAAATACCAATTCAAAGCAGAAAAAAAAGGTAGTTGTTGATTAGCCATCATTCGGTCATCATTATGTTGAGGTGCTAAACGCGATTAAATTAAATAATCTCAATTGTTAAACTTTAACTTAACTGTATTGCAAATAGACTGATTACTATGTAGCTAATCAAAAACTCTTTCATCAAATATTTCTGTTAGAATTTTTTATTTAAAATTCTTTTTCGCAATACAATCTCCTGTTGAAAAGTAGCATTTCATCGCGCCTAAGACAAGACACCTGTTTTCTTACCTGCAACATGCACAAGTTGTACTTGTCTTTTTTGCATCAACACCCTCGTTGTAAAAGAAGAAAAAGAAAAAAAAAAAAAAAAAAAACAATCACAACAGACATGCAGATATTTGTTTTGCGAGTGTCTTTGTGCTGCAATTGCCTGCCACTAACACCATAATTTTAGACTAGATTCTCTTGATTATATAAAACTTTGTCTTGTTTTTCCTTCTTTCCTATATATTTTGCTGATGTGAGTGGTATGGCTCGGTAAATACAACTGCTGTGGGTATTTATATGTCTAGGTGTGTGTCTTTTTGCAAGATTTGTGGCATTAAATTGTTGACGCGTGCTTGCAATTTTTTTTTTTTTTTGTTTCTTGCTGCTCTCTTTCCTTGTTTCCTAAGCATAGATTTTCTTCGCACAAGGAAAAACAACGCTCAACATGATCTTTGCGGTTGGTTGATTCTGCATGTTATTGCAATTGTTGGTGTTGTTTTTTTTTTTTTTGTTTTTGCCTTGTTTTGATTGATTTTTCATTCGTTCTGTTAAAGTCTGCTTTTTTGTTGTTACGATTCTTTAGTGTGGTTAGTTTTTCTTGCCACTCTTTATAGTCCTTAACAAATGGAAAATTATATTTAAGCATATGTCTATGAGTGTATTAATGTGTGTTTTTGTGTGCATGTAAGTGAGCTTATACATTTTATTTTACGCTTGATAATAGCGTTGTTTTCTATATCTTATTTTTTTCTACTTATTTACTATGTTTAAATTTCAAGTTCAATTAAGTTGTTGTTGTACGTTGGCGCAAACATGAGCGCATTGCCACCACCACTGCCACCACCGTCACCAATTACACCAACTTTCAAACTTAACTTTGTCTGATTTTAATGGTTTGATTTGACAGAGATACGTACATATTATTATATGTATATATATATGTACGATATAAAGTCCATAAAAAGTATAACAAACAATTATGATCATTATCACCATAAATGGCATATGAAAAGAAAGATTGTAACGAAAATTAAATTAAGCTTTTATTATTACATTTTTTTTATATATACACATATATATATTTTTTTTCATAAGTTAGTTGCTGCCGTTTGGAATATTAATAAGGTTTTCACTGCTTTAGGTTATCGGTTGTATTTTATAGAAAATTTTTATAAAAAAAAAAATTCAAAAATAAAAAATTTTTTCTTCACTTTTTCCTCCAAAAAATTTGACGAAATTTTTAACAAAGTTTTCGGGACTAAAGAAACCTAAATTGACGTTACATTTGACTGTGTTGGTGGGCGGTACGATGGGATGACTTTATGGAAAGCAAATTAGACAAATAATCAGTTGACATTGAAGGCTACTTATATCCAGATAATATGAGTTCGCCTCAAAACAAACTTGGTAAACGAATAGTGAACACTAAAGTGTAGGTAAGTTGAGGCAGCGAAGAAACAACGCTCAAGGACAGTCTTTATATTTTATAATATATACTTTCAAATAAAGCAAAGTCTATTTTCACAAGAACGTCTTTGACTGTTGTCTTTCGAATTCATTTGAAATCAATTAAAAACATATCACCTAAATAAGAATAGGGTGGTGTAGGCAAAACTACTGCTGAGTTGAACACATTAAGCCAACAATGGCTGAGTTTAAACTAAAAGCTACTTGATCTTATCATCTAATAACTGTACAGGATGGCCGCCAAAGTTCCTATTGTGCAATGTGAAACTGCTCCTCTTGCGATTTGACGTGTCCATAAGAACCCTTCTTGAGATTAGAGTCACATCACTGAATTGTCGTTTATAGGATAGCATTGGTCTTACATACAATCCTCTAGGGAGATTTATTGATAAATTCTTTGCATTTTAATGGTATTTCTGATCTTGTTCGTTTGAAATATACCTTGTCAGTTGCGTGCATAGGTAAAGCATTATGAATGTGTGTTTGGTTTTACATTTTTGAAATATGGTCTTTCGGAAAATCAGTTTGTTTTCATGAGGACTCATTTTATCTAATATGGGGGGTTTCGTAACAATATGTTGTTCGCTTACGTTAAGTATTTGAAATAGCAAGAGTAGTAAGGGCAAGCAACATGACCGAGTTGAACAAAGTGGAGAAACAGTTATCAGAAGACAGAGTAAGCTAGTATGCTGGCGGGTTGATTATGATGGGGAAATCCTCAGATAGGTGTTATTTTCGTCCATATTCGTGCACACTGACTTG